CTGGGGCTCAGATTACAGCCAGCCTGGCCTATTTGATGATCTCCGGGCCAGTGAGAGACTCTGTCTCAAAAACCGAGATGGGGCTAGAGAGACGGCTCAGTGATTAAGAGCACTGGCTGCCCTCTAAAGGACCTGGGTTGAGTTCCTGGCACCCACAGGGTGGCTCACAGCCATCTGTAACTCTAGCTTTTGTGGGTATTAAGCACACATATGGTACACAGACCCACATGCAGCAAAAAACCCTTACATATAAAATGAGTAATTTTTGAAACGTGGACAGTGTTTGAGGATTGGCACTTCTGGCCACCACACACATGTGCACACATGTGCATTCAGAGCAGCATATGTACAGCATTTGTGCTTTGTTGGGGCTGGAGAGATGCTCACAACTGTCTGTGACTCCAGTTCCAGGGGATCCAACATCCTCACACAAACACACCCAGGCAAAACATCAACACACATAAACAATGAATAATTCTTTTAAAAAGTATACTTGGGCCGGGCGGTGGTGGTGGTGCACACCTTTAATCCCAGCACTCGGGAGGCAGAGCCAGGCGGATCTCTGTGAGTTCAAGGCCAGCCTGGGCTACCAAGTGAGCTCCAGGAAAGGCGCAAAGCTACGCAGAGAAACCCTGTCTCGAAAAACCAAAAAAAAAAAAAAAAAGTATACTTGGTTGAAATGAGCAATAGTTTTACCTGATCAAAGAAATACATGGGCCCAGAGTAAAAAGGCGTAGTGCCAAGGAACTCCTCCATTCTGCCATGAGACCTGGGAAGGGAGAACAGGAAATCTGAAAAGGAATTACCATGGCCATAGGTAAGAGTCCAAAGCGCCTAACGGTTTTAAAGTTCAGATGTTTTATTTTCAGTGACATATGCACAGTTCTGGGATGGACACCACTGTTCTTTTTATCTTCGTTTTCATGGTGGGGTCCCTGACGCAACACATTGCTGACACTTTGGACCAAGTCATCCTTCAAACTAAGCCGTCTGATGTACTATAGGATGTCCAGAGGCAGACAGATCTCTGTGGCTTACAGAGCGAGTTCCAGGACAGCCAGAGCTGTTACACAGAGAAACTCTTGAAAAACAAAAAACAAACAAACAAAATGAAGAGTTTTCCAACTTCACTAAAGACCAGCCTCTCATCGGAGCTGGAGAAATGGTTCAGTGGTTAAGAGCACTTGTTGCCTTTGCAAAAGACCGGAGTTCAATTCCCAGCACCCACATAGTAGCTCACAACCATCTGTAACCCTAGCTCCAGGGGATCTGATGCTCTCTTCTGGCCTCCAAGAGCACCAGCATGCATGTGGTACATATACATACATGCAAGTAAACACTCATAGGCATAAAATTTAAAAAAAAGATGAGCCCTTTGTTAAAGAGAAATTTTTTTTTTTCTGAGACAGAGTTTCCCTGTGTAGCTTTGCACCTTTCCTGGAACTCGCTTTGGAGACCAGGCTGGCCTCGAACTCACAGAGATCCACCTGGCTCTGCCTCCCGAGTACTGGGATTAAAGGCGTGCGCCACCACCGCCTGGCTTGTTAAAGAGAAATTTTTAGGACAGGGTGTGATGGCCCATGATTTAATCCCTGCACTCAAGAAGCAGAGGCAAGTGGATCTCTGTGAGTTTGAGGCCACCTTGATCTATATATTGAGTTCCAGGCCAGCCAGGGATACACAGTGAGACCCTGACTCAAAAAGAGAGAGACAGAGGAAAAGAAAAGAAAAAAGAAATCTGTGCTCACTTGTAGCCAAAACATAAACATAGGCAAATGTTAGTTGGTGCATCAGGAGGAACTTAGCTATGCCAGGCAGGCAATTGTGGCCAGAGGCTGCTACCAAGGATAGTTTTTAAAAGGCATCAGAAAGCGATTTGTGATTGTTCATGTCAGTAATCCTAGCACTCAGGAGGACCGTTGTGGGTTCAAAGGCAGCCTGCCATAGCAAGCATTGCGTCACCAGAGTGATATCTCAAGACCCCGTCTCAAAAAAACCAAAAATGGATGAATGAGTGAACAAACTAAAAGAGAAAAACAAAGGAAAGCCAGAGTAGACACACAGACTTTCTGGTGTTGAGACACTGAATGGAAGGGAGCCACATGACTCTGCTGCTTGTCATCAGGTCTGATAACCGGAGTTCCATCCCCGGGCCCCACATGGTAGAAAGAGAGAACTGACTCCTGAAGGTGGTCCTCTGGGATTAAAGGCATGCGCCACCACTGCCCAGCGTGAATTATATTTTTTAAAGGAACTTAGCCAGTTCCATCTTCCACCTGGGCCAGCCTAGAGATATCAACAGCTAGAGATCAAGTCTTCAACGATATCTGTGCACCTTAGAAAGCACCTTTTTGGGAGCTAGAGAGACAGCTCCACAGTTAAGAGTGTATACTGCTCTTTCAGAGGACTGCTTCCAAGCACCCACACCATGAGGCTCACGACTGTCTGTAACCCCAGTTTCATGCAGTCTGGTGTCCTCTTCTGGTGTCTGAAGGCGTCCGCACACAAGGGCACAAACTCCCACACGGGCTATATATACATAATTAGAAATACGCCCTTTTAAAAGAAAGTTCCTTTGTGTACTGGGGGATGTGGGTCAGTGATAGAGTGCTTGTTTGGCACTCACAAGGAAGGCCTGGGTTCAATTCTTTAACATCACACACACACACACACACACACACACACACACACACGAGAGAGAGAGAGAGAGAGAGAGAGAGAGAGAGAGAGAGAGAGAGAGAGA